TAAAAAACATGTCTCTTCACTCGTTCCTTTTTCTTTTATACATATCAGAATGGTTTATCGTTACAGTTAACGTGCATACATCAGAAAGCAAAAATGATTCTACCATTATATAATGACTAACTTGAACATGATTCTATACAGAGGAAAATTTCTGAAGGGAAAAATCAAGATTCACTTGTTAAAAATATTTAAAATACTTCCACCGGTTTAAGCTACACTGAACTAGTTTACCGCGAGACATAAAAAGTGGGCCATAGTTTTTAACTGCTGAACACTGTCGCAAAATAAATAAAATAGGAAAGACTATTTAGATATGCTGAGAAAAGCTATTATGTTTGTTAATTATTTTTTCTATAGATAATCCGCATTGCATTTTTCTTAATACAATGTTGCCGTGTCATTTTTTTCAACGCCTTATTCGTGGAAGCTTATTTGCATTTGTTAACACAACTGGACCATTTTTAATTTGTACTTTTTTTTTTTAACAGCTCAGAAAAAAAAATGGCCAATGCAAAAATTCGACTTCTTTACTTCGACGGCAAAGCAAAAGCAGAAGTTGCTCGACTTATTTTGTCGGCTGCTGGTAAAGAATACGAGGACGTCCGTTTTTTCAAGGGAAGATTGGCCAAAATTTAAACCGTCAACTCCATACGGTCAAGTGCCCGTCTTAGAAGTTGACGGCGTCATGTTTGCTGAGAGCATCGCCATCAACTTGTTCTTAGCTCGCGAGTTCAACTTCTACGGGAAGAACAATTTAGAAAATTTCAAATTGATGAACTGGTTCAGTTATACGAAGACTACTTCCAAAAGGCGCTCGATTTGATTTTTCACACAGAAGACGAGGCCATACAGAAAGAGGGCATTAAAAAATTTAAAGAAGAAGATGCTCCAAGGTACTTGGAGTTCCTCGAGGAGAATCTGAAAAAGAACGGGACAGGATACTTTGTGGGAGACAGCATCACTTTAGCTGATATCGTAGCCTTAGACCTGAACACAGGATCAATGGGCTCTCTTGTGGCGGAGATAACAGACAACTACCCCTTGCTGAAGAAGAATCTGGAACTCGTGAAAGGACAAGACAAGATAGCAGCATACCTTGTTAACCGAAAAGACGGGTGGTAGGAACCAGGTTTTGTAGGAACCTGGTCTTGTATTGTGCTCTACAAGTATTTTCAACTGTTATTATTTGTGTTGACATTTGTTAAAGCTGTGTAGTGAACTAAAACGCATTATTTACGTTAACAGCATTTATTTATCTTGCTTCTGTATGAAGGGAGTTAAATCATCCTAGACATCTTTCATTTACAATTTTGTTTATTTTTATTATTTACAATTATGACAGAATTTTTTTTATTGCACATGACATTGTTGCAACCTTTGGTTTATTGGATTAAAGATATCAAACTATACATTTTGTATTTATATGTTGAAGCTTGTGTAGGGTGCTGCTTAAGTTTTCAACCAGTGTTTCTTCCAGACTTTTTTCTCCGGGGGGGGGGGGGCATTTGAAATTTTCGGGGGGGGGGGCGGTAAACTTTCTTCGGGGGGGGGGGGAGCGGACACTGTTAAAAGTATATATTTTTCTATATAAATTATATAAATTCATTTCGTTCGGGGGGGGGGGGGGGGGGAGGCAGTAAAAAAATTTCGGGGGGGCTTTGCCCCCCCCCCCCCCGAAGAGATGCCTGGAAGAAACTTTGTTTTCAACACATGTCACTCGGGTATTTCTTTTACGCGCATGCTTCTAACACACCAATTAGTATATTTCAGAACAATTCCCCCACCTCCTTTCCCCCTTGAGGACAAAATTTAAAGAAAAAATAATTGCAATTAAATATAAAATATATACTTTAACCATTGTCCACACCTGATTGCACCCCTAATTAAATAATCTAATTATTTCCCTCACAAAGCATCCACGTTAAATATTACTAAGAAAGAAACAATGTTTGACAGCTTTTATGATTGGAATCGTGGCAATTGCAATTTTGCAAATGACAATTGCCAATATTTGGGGCATATTAATGTTTTGCTGTAAGAATTAGGTGATTAATCATCTTTCCACAATTGTACCAAAACACATGGAGCAGATGAAGTACAGTTCATGGTTCAATGACCTCGGCATACGAGGGATAGTTTGGCCAGCCACCTTTGCTTCCATTACATGAGTCATTTACCCATCAGAGTTGGGTGAACTCAGAGACGTCCTATACAATTACAAACTCGAACCCGGGATCCGAACTCGGGACTCGCGGGACAGCAGTCATAAATTAGGTAAATAGGCCTATTTAATGCTACCAGCTAAATAGAAAATTCACTGTTCTTATGAACGATCTGAGCTCGGGCGTGGAGGGTCCATAAATCGCCAGTCATTTTTCCACGCCCCCCCCCCCCCCCACACACACACATTCATTGTTCACCTCATATCAACATCACACGTTCCAGCTCGCCATTCGCTAACGGCCAGTCACAACACACACGTCGCGCGCAGCCCGTGAATCCCGAGTTACTTCCCGTTCACTGCTGACCTAGGACGTCTGACGTTCCTCAGTGAACAGCTCGTGTCGTGTGAAGTAGAAGTAAGTATTCGCTGGTTTTTTTTGTTTAAACCTAAGCATTCTATATCCATACTCAAGCTATCTTTAGTCTACTGATAAATGATTAGGATCTTTAATTTTAAATTAAATTCTAAGCTGCATGTTTGGTATACTTTCTAGAATTTTTCCTTTGTGTCCTCTAGTCTGTAACTTGAGTACAAGTTAACACATTACTGACTCATGAAACTGTAAAACATTGTTACAGTTTATAGCTTGAAGCCCCGAATCTAGAAAAACAGACCTTAGATGTGTCGACATAGATATAATTTATAAAAGCAAGTGTTGTTTTTTTTCATAGCTTAGATATTTTAGATTAGATCTTGGTTCTAGAATCTAGCACAAACATAACTAACCACTTCACTAGATCTAATCTTTAGTTTTAGCCTCTAGAGCAAAAACTGAGCCATTATTATCGTAAACAATATGCCCAATCTACAAGATCATTAGTCTTCTGTATCGTGCATTTACTTTCAATGTTACCGGGACCTATAGTTGGTGTCTAGTATCACGAAACACAGGCACTGATCTGCTAAACATTGGGTGAAAAAAAATGGAAACTCCTTGCTTTTGTTTGCATCGCCGGTGACCCCGCCGGTCTGCTACAAGGTCAGCATAAAAACTAGGACGGGGTTGTGGAGGGGTCGAGCTAGGCTAGACAGCTGAGCCACTGCCGCACGATCTACGCCTAGGCCAAGAAATAAACTGAATTGCCTTTGGCTATTGCATTGAATTGTCATAGGTTGGGTAAATTAATTGAATCCATATAGGATGATTTTAGATACCGATGTCCAATAATAGACTATTCCATAAAATAGGTGTGTTGGGTTATTAGTAGTATTGTAATCTCGACTAATTTTATGGTTAGAAATTAAGGTTAGGCGTATGGTAGGACCAGGGTTGGAGTCAGTATTAGGGACAGGGTTAGCATTGACATTAGTCAGCAATGTATGTATTTAGTTAACTACCCGTAATACCCGTAACCTAACCCCCCCCCCCCCTTTTTTTTTTAAAGATTCTATTATCGGACACTGGTATAAAAATCCCCCCCCCCCCATGTTAAGTCATTAAAAATAATAGTTATTTATTAAATGTATGTCGTGCGTCAAAAGATTAAAAAAATAAAACAGTTTAATGTGACGAGAAGCAACATAGACTTCATTTCTTTGTTGCTGTTCAATAGCATTGCATTATACAACTGTTATTTAAACAAAGATCTAAGTAGGTCATGTGGACCACCCCCCTCCCTCCATGTCAAACGACTTCTCATGCTGTTGTACACAGCAACCTCCTCTTCCAATATTTTCTCGCCTATGGAGGTGAGGCGAAAGCACCAAAAAAAAAGTCAGCTATTCTGTTTTTGACTGAAACATTTCCCCACACAGTACACAGCCTAACCCCAATGAAACCTTGTTTTTATTTTTAACCGAGCAGCTATGAAACCTATTGCGTCTATCGTTAAGGCACACCGATAAACATCTGGGCAAGCTATCGATTTTTACGCTCGTGAAGCAGAGGACAGTGTGTTGTCTGACTGGCTAGCAGGGGCGTAGCGAGGGGGGCGGGGGGTGCGGACCGCACCGGGTGACACCATTTAGGGGGGTGACACCAAGGCAAAAAAAATAGCAAAATATAGAGAGAAAAACTTGAGGGGGGGGGGGGTGCAATCGAAAGTTTTAGGGGGGGGGGGGTGCAAATCGAAAACTTAAGGGGGGGGGGTGCTAATCGAAAATTTGAAAGTTTGTCCCCGGGAAGGGTCGCGACGCTCTGGGGGGTGACACCATTAAGTGCCGCACCGGGTGACACCAGACCTCGCTACGCCACTGCTGGCTAGCAGGTCAAACTGCTCCCGTCTGACAGAAGCTTCATGGTTACTGGGAATGAAAATTACATGAAGAGAAAAAGATAATGTATCGATGTTGTAGGTCTATCCACATTACCGGCGTTCTAATAAAAATGAGCGACTCACTGGGTTTTCATTTTTGCTGTGCATTTAAAATTGCATTGTCACGATAAAAAGTGTGGGCCTACACGTTGATGGAATATTCTGGCAATAGCTATCTGCGTGATTTACAAGTGCGGACAAGTAATGCAGTGTTTTAAAATACTCTATCCGCGTACTCATTTGTACTTACAGTTTTGTTTAAAGTCGTCTCTAAACAAGTTTCTTTTATTTGTATGTACTACAATGGTGTATCGTTTATCTTAGATGCGGTAAACAGAAAATAAAATGGTAGAGTATTAAAACAAAATTCTTCTTTAGAAACAAGGTTAAATACAATGGAGCATTTCTAAAGGGAACAACAAGTTCCTTTATAATTTTAAAAGCTTTCACCGGTTTATGTTCTACTAAAATAATCGACCTCGAAACTCTTGTAAAATCTGCTTTTGTTTTTAATAGCTGCACACAGTCTTGAATTAGGTAGTTAAAAAAAATATTAAAGAACCCTTTCGCAACTGGGGCGAATAGAGGTTTCATGTTAAAGTGTGGTCAACACTAAGCACAGCCGTCTTTATTTCCCCCTAACTTGGGACAGCGGTGTGCTAAGACTCTAGCAAGGGACCCGCACCCCACATCAAGACCAAGAACATAACTTTCATGCTAGCTGTCAAACGCTCTAACGTTGGGGTGGTGATAATAAAACAATAAAATGGGTGGGATCGTACTATGTGACTGACTCCATAATATTTGTTAACAGGTTTTTTCTACAGATGATGCAGCATTGCGTTTGTCTAAATGAAATATTTGTCTTTCGACAATCTATTCTTTTAATTAATTCGTTTCTATTTTTGAAACTTTTTAGTTTAGAAATCATGGCCAATGCAAAAATTCGACTTCTTTACTTCGACGGAAAGGCAAGGGCAGAAGTGGCTCGACTACTTTTGGCGGCTGCTGGTAAAGAATACGAGGACGTCCGTTTTTCCATGGAAGATTGGCCAAAATTCAAACCGTCAACTCCCTACGGCCAGGCACCTGCCTTAGAAGTCGACGGCGTCATGTTTGCTCAGAGTATTGCCATCTGGTCGTTCTTAGCTCGCGAGTTCAACTTCTACGGGAAGAACAATTTGGAAAATTTCAAAATTGATGAACTTGTTCAGTTGTACAACGACTACTTCACAAAGGCTGCTGATTACATGTTTCACACTGACGATGAAACCAAAAAGAACGAAGGCATCAAGAAATTCAAAGAGGAAGATGCTCCAAGATACTTGGGGTTCCTCGAGGAGAATCTGAAAAAGAACGGGACAGGATACTTTGTGGGAGACAGCATCACTTTAGCTGATATCATAGCCTTAGACCTGAACACAGGAACTTTGAGCTCAGTCGTGGAAATCACAGATGACTACCCTTTGCTGAAGAAGAATCTGGAACTCGTGAAAGGGCAGGACAAGATAGCAGCCTACCTGGCCAGCCGAAAAGATACCCCCTGGTAGGAACCAGGTCCTCTGTGAAACGCCAGCTTGCATTTTGCTTTACAAGTATTTCAACAGTTCAGTTTATGTTAACTCTTATACAAGCTATAACTGTAACTCGTTATTCGCGCTAACAGCATTAAAATTAATCTATCTTGATGATGTATGAAGGGAGTTATCTGCTCCTAGACATCATTCAATTTACATTTATGTCCATTATTTAAATTTACAACAGGCTTGACAATGCTCATGTTACTGCTCTTTATTTTATTGGATTAAATACATCATACTTGTTACTTTTTGTATTTATATAGTATAGTTGGTGTACTGTTAGTCAAAAACATAACACACAGGTAATTTATGCACGCGTCTCTAGTAGAGATGGTGTAGGGGTGTACATTTTCAGACCTTGCAATGAAGTAGAGTTCATCTGTTTCAGCCACGTTGTAAAATTGATCACCGTGCTTATCCATTGATGCCTTCCTATACATCAGCCAGGTACCTGTCTGACTGGTAGATTCAATGACGCCTAGCTCGAGCCAGGTACCTAATAGATTGGTAGGTTAAATACTGATGAACGGCTGCTGGCTTAGCAATGGCATTATTCCCCACTCGTTCTCAACAGTGTGGATCTAGACCTCAGTCTACATAGCAGCTGAAGTAGAGGTCTCCTGGTCCGGCGACCTTGGTATATTGTCACATAGGTGCCTGGCTATTTAGCTTTTACCCTATTTACACATAAAACTTCAAAAAAATGAACAGAATGGCTACAACAACAAACTTCAACTCAACTGAACTCCCCCCCCCCTTTTTTTTTCAGCGCCCTACTAGATGTAGTATCCACAGAAGAAAAGTTCATCTGTGAACCTAAGCTTCTTAAGTAGGCCTAGTGTAGGGGGTGTAATAAGTTTTCAAGTCAAACATGTTTATCACCTAATTCATAGAACTAGATTTTCAAATAAAATGTAGAGATGAAAACAAGTATGAAAAGCCACAAAAACAACCATGTGTACACGGTTCTGGAAAATTCTCCCGACATTTAAAAAATCAACGGCTCTAAAATGTCTTGGGTAAGAAAAAAACCCTCTGCAAATATTTGACGAGCCTAGGGCTACTTGTGTAGGGACAACTCACAACAAAAGACAAGAGTATAGTATTTGTTTGTCTTTAAAAACTTCTCAATGATCGGGTGCGCAGTTTAAAGGGGCTCAAACCAGTTTGACGTACTAAAGCCCAATTTTGCCCGTTCTTAAGTTTTTGCCAGAATATTCTAGCAAAAAAACTTAAAAAGTTTTTCTTTCAGGCATTCCTACTGGGTAAAAAAAAGGTGGGTGAGGGGCATTGAAGAAAATATTACTTCAGTTTCACGCTGAGTAAGCAAACTAATCTTAAGAGTAAGAAACGTAACTGCGCTATACACCACAGCGATATTCCACGTCGGAATAGAAGAGTCAATGTTTTTTAAAACGTTATTTCAATAGTTGGTTTCAGTTTTATTTTTTGCAATGTTGTAAAATGTTCTTAATTCTACAATTGCGTGAAGGCAATCACATCGGTCTTGCTGTTCGACGTTATTATTTTAAAGACAAAATCTTGACCCCCCCCCCCCACCCCCCACCACCCCTTCCTTAGCTTTTCTTTGTCCTGAAATGGAGAATACCATCTTCTTGTTCAGATTTAATTTTACGTCGTCCAAAAGACCGGTCGTAGAAATTAATAGTGTATGCAAGATTAAATTAGTCCAGTTTTTTTTCCTAATGATTACATAAGTACCGACGTCCGCATGCACTCAAACGTAGGGTCAACGCAAAGTTTTAACTCAGTGAAAGGTCCGGAACAATTTATTAATTTTTTTTTCTGCAAAGCTTTCTAAATGATTTGGTTACACGCAGTGGCGTAGCGAGGTCGGGTGTCACCCGGTGCGGCACCCTCAAACTTTCGATTTGCACCACCCTCAAGTTTTTCTCTATATATTTTGCTATTTTTTGCCTTGGTGTCACCCCCTCTAAATGGTGTCACCCGGTGCGGTCCGCACCCCCCGCCCCCCCCCTCTCGCTACGCCCCTGGTTACACGTAACCATTCATCCCTGGGTGAGCACAGCTGAACTTGAGAACCGCGTCTATACAAGAATGACACGGTAGGTTTTGTTCCCTTAACCTAATCGAGTAATCATAGCTGGGGTAGTTGAGCTAAAACACGAGAACCGCCTTTGTACAAGAGTGACACGATCACAGACTCGATTAAACTGGATTGGTAGCGTGGCGGGCCTGAGAACTCGACCACACACACATACACAAATAGGCCTACACCAACAAATGATAGCTCTAGTCACGTGACGGGGCAGCTTGAAGCTGATTGGCTAGGGAAGTGGTGTGTCCTTGTTGTTATGATAATGGCGGAGCCACAGAGATAGGATACACCCCCCACCTCCTATCTCACTAACAAGGAGTCTTCAAACTTGTCACATTGGTCTTCTATTGTCCTCCCCCCCCCCTCTATCATCCCATTGTGACCTGTCACTTGTCATTTGTCATATTTTCCTTCCATTGTTTACATATTTGAGCATTTTATAGCACAATTGAGCACAATTGAGAGCTTGAGTGTTTTAATACATCACAATTATGTCTGTACTAATTAAGCCGATTTACAAATACATCATACAGATTCATACATTTTCCCAAACGTCATTAAAGCAGGTTTGAGTATATTTGACTAGTTCATTAATCAGTGGCGTGCAGACCTATGTAGATGCCCGGGGCAAACTCAAGCGGAAGATGCCCATATATATATATATATATATATATATATATATATATATATATATATATATATAGCTTAGTTAAAAAAAACAAATAAGTTATGTTGGACGTTTATATACATAGAAAAGCATTTTTTTAAAATTGTACTTATCTTAATTAAGATGAAAACGTTGACTACAGCCAGCTAAATCCAAATGGTATGAATGGTTGGAACTTGGGGGGAGGGGGGGGGGGGTTGGAAAGGGGGGAGACATTTGCGGGACGTGTCGTGGTGGGGAGGGGGGGGGGGGCTGTGATGCACTACAAAAGAGTCTCATCCGGTGTTGTATTACTGCCCGGGACCGCAGGGACAAAAACGTTCTCCGTGTCTACAATTAGGGCGTCAGATACGCCTTTATTGATGGGATGTTTCTCTCTTGGCCTGTTTAGGAATTCCTATAGTGTAACTAATACAGGTGAGAGTGTGCATTGAACTAGAGATGTTTCAGATTTTTTTCTGTAAACCACTTGGTCAAAACTTCAACTCTTTAAAGAGATGGGTGATGCTAGATACTCTCAAACTATCTGAACCTTGAATATAACAGAAGTGTACCTTGTTTGGCTAAAGCTGCCAGCCCTAAAAAAAAAAACCACTTCTACACCGGACTGTGTTTAAAAATTCACTATGCTATGTCAGACCCTCCCCACAACTTGGACGCGTTTTCACAAATTTAACACCCAGGTAACGCCTGTCTAGTTCAGGTGGGGGATAATCCACTAACGGCTACCATAGCCTAAAAACCCACACCGCATCCCCACATTTCATTACATCATTATGGGCTCAATAGCTCTATAGATAGCTCTACTATTAACTGAAATAAAACTGGCTCTGTTTGTGCCCCCAATTACTTTAAAGAAAGCTCTACTTTAAAATACTTTAACTTTAACACTACTTAAAGCATGCTCCTCCTATTTGTAAAAATCAATATGAGCGTAATTATTCTGAATGATATCATTACAATGTTTAGTAAACAATATGTTGATTCGTATTCTTGAGATTGTCGCTACAGTGTATCAAAAACAATATGGACATTCTTATTCTTAAGTATGCTTATATAATGCAGAAAAATAAATATATACTAAAGGCTGCCAGTGGCGTAGCTACCGTAACGCTAGAGTAAGCAAGGCATAGGGCTCAAGGCAAATAGGGGTAATTTTCCTTCTTTTAAAAAGTTAAATCTTTTACATTGGAATTTTGATATTTATTTAATATAAATAATTTTTAAAAAAATGAAATCAGGTGTTTTTTTCTACTTTAGAAATAATTTAATTTCAAAAAGGCGCAAAGTCCTTTCTTAGTGTACAGGCAGTGGCATTCAGTGTGGGGGAGGTCGGACGACTAACATTATTAACATTGTTAATTATTGCATAAGGGCCGAAAATCCTAGTTACGCCACTGAAGCCTGCCCATACAATTTAACAAAAATAAAAAGTTTGGGCGTTATTACACAACAAATGGCCATATATTTCACCAAAGATGCTCCAAAAAATTATAATAATAATATGGGCATAATTACCCTTTGGATGCCCTTAAAATGGATCATAATGAAGAAGTACATTAAAAAATAGCTTTAGAGATGCCCCCAATGTTAACAACGATGATTGGTGTAATTACTGTTGCATGTCCTTCGAGTGTAATACATGAATATAAGCTTAATTACTTTCAAGATGCCCCTACAATATATAAAATGAAGATGGGCATACTTACTGTATGGATGCCTTTAAAATGTATTATAAAGTGAAGTGGGCATATTACTAAATGCTCATAAAATATATTATAATGATTATACGAATAATTACTTTAATATGCCCCTACAGTGTATAAAAATAAATATGTTTTAATTACTCGACGGATGTCCTTAAAACTGAGTATAACGAATACGCGCATATTACGTTTAAGATGCCCTTACAGTGCATGGGAATAACTTGGTCACAAGTACTCTAAACGATGCCCCTACATTTATTAAGGGAATATCATTGACTTCCTTCACTGATGCCCGCTTTTTCTATATAAGTTATATATGGACAGTGTAATGTTAAAACAAGTGACAGATGATTGAGTGTTACAATTTTTTTTTTGAGTGAAAAAAAGTTGGAAATATGCGATGACAATATGACAAGACATAAAAGTCACATATCGCAACAATTTTTAAATTACTAAAAAAAAAAAAAAAAAAAAAAAAAAAAAAAAAAAAAAAAAAAAATTAGGAGTAAAAAAAAATTAAAAATTTCCGCCTCCGCTGGATGCCCCCCAGTGGTGGATGCCCGGGGCCTGGGCCCCGTCCGCCCCCCCCTCTGCACGCCACTGGTTCATTTGAGTAGTTTACAAAAGTAATTCCTTCAAGACACGCAGTTTCGTGAGAATAGTATAGTTTTACACTAACAGTTTCACATGATACGTATAAAAAAAAACTAATGACACAATCATGCAGCACAGAAAAAGATTGGGCAAATGAGCAGCACAAAAAAAAAAAACGGCATATGTGCAGCTCAAAAA